GAAACCCATTTCTGCCGATTATTGTCCAATTTAGTTTGGCGACACACCTGTATCGACGATGTGCCTTTTTTTTAATTAAAAAGTTATATATTTTATTTCGCGAATGCAACAAGGGCACCTCCCTGTGTTTCCTCAAAATACCAGAAGGGGTATATTCATTCTTATAGCCCAATTCTGTATCGGTGACAAAAAATTTTTTACTGGCAAATTTAAACTTTTTCATCATATATTTAATACTTCTATATTGGCAGTAACCTATCTCCGCAATGTGTTTGGATTCAGCAATCGAAGGGAGATAGCTTTGAGCCAAGTGTACGTTTTGCGCATATTTTTCATGTATTAGTATCTGTGAATATATGTGGCAAATCCATTGAAGCGAATTTAACGTATCCTCAGTAGAGCTTGAAAATAAATTTGAAGGGGATTATTTGACTCCGTTGTTGACGATGTTTACTTATACAAACTGAAACTTTATGATGAAGTATTAAAATTTTATTTTAAAGTTTGCTGGAAATCAAAAAAACCGATTTGAAAATTTTTCAAATGATTAGCAATTTATTATTTTAAATATAATTTTGGCCTCAAACATATATGTATCTCCATTTTCCGCTGAGTAATAATTTACTCACTATTCAGTTAAAAAGAAACAAATAACTATATTTAGTAATATAGAGACGTAATTCAAACTTTACTTTTTTGGCGATTTCATCATAGAATTAACAAGCTTGATAAGGAGATTATGTTCAGCCTGGATATGAGTAAACTTCCTAAAAATGGCAAATATATGTGTCGATCCATTTGCCTTTTGATATGAATTGATCTAACTTTGATTGCGATTTCCCACAAAATTGAAATTTCGAAATAATTCTGTTTATTATTAAACGTGCGATATAATATTCGCTATGTTTATTTGAATTTGTTTCGATAAGTCTTTTTGTAAAAGTAGAACTCATTATCTAACAAAAACTATATAAATCCAAATTTCAAACTTTGTGCAAAAATTAGAAAAATCAACAAAGTTTCATTGAAATTACAAGCTTTTTTGATGTGCAGTGGTAGTAATGTGTTAGGTAAGCCATCATAATTATTGAATGGCTGCTTCCCGCCTACAAAAAGCTGTAATCATAGTTTTCTTAGACAATCTGTTTGATCAAACGGCTCCACCTGTTTCAAGAATCACTGTTTCAAGAAGAGCCAAGCCAGCGATACATAATATCATTTGTATAATAACAGCATACTTTTAAAAAATACGCATCAAAATAACCACAACATCCATACGTGCATAACTTCCTCAGATGTGACAGCAACAAGTGCATCTTCAGCATACTTGACACGTAGCTACATATAAGCCGCATCAGCTTGAAAATCAATCACCAAACTATATCGATTCGATCGAACCAATTTCTGTTTGACCAGCATCACACAGGTTGCGCGAACCAAAAAAAAAAAAGCAAAACAAAACTCAATTGGGAGCCATGCGCATGCGCCAATGCATTCTACGCTGAGCGTGAGAGCACAAAAGCTGAGAGCGCGCAGTCGATAAACGCCAATGCTACGCAGGTGCATTCGCCGTCAACGCCAACGCGCAATGCGCTGCAATCAACACGAACAATCAGCTGCTGCAACGCCAATTCTGTGTTTTGCTTTGGGGTTGGTTGGGGCTGTTGCGCAGGCGCGTACTAAACGCGATCGAGCGCGCTGCTGCAACAGCAAATTCACGTCATTCACGCGCACACCACACACACGTTCACACTCGCCATAAACACGCACACACACACACACACGCACGTGCTCGCACGGATGCTGGAAGGCAGACAGGTAGATTGGCTGGTTGGTTCGCGGCTGACTGTTGGCTCTGGTTTGACGATTGTCTCTGTGGCGTTTGTTTTTTTGTTGCTCATGCTGACCGTTTGGTTGTTAGTTGTTGGATTTTTGGTTGTTGGTTTGGCGAATGCGCAAAGTGGTCTTCAGTTGTGAATGGCGAGTCGCAAAGCTAACACCAACGGCAGCGACGGCAACAAATACGAGTTTACTCAAATATTTATTTACATAGTTACGGTGCGCGAGTACGCCAACGCGTATTTTTGTTGTACGTACATACATACATGCATGTGTATGCGATTTGATAGTGTCAGCGCGCGCGCGTTTTAGGTTTTTTGTTTGCGCTCGAGTAATTGGTATTGTATAAAAAGTTTCATGTGCAAAAAAAAAACAAAATATACAAAGCAAGTTAAATTTGTAAAAAATTAAAACACAAAAAAGGAAAAACTAATTGATAAGCGTCACAGCGATTGTAACGACAAGTGACTACGCACTATCAGCTCAGCGACAACGTCAACCGACGACGACAACATGCGCGTCTGCTACGGCATCTTCAGCTAATGAGCGGTCTAGCCGCTAACTAGCCCACTCACTAGGCAGGCAGGCAAACTGGCAGGCTAGGCTGGCAGCTAGCGAGCCGGTCAACAAGTCAACGGGATTTTCCAGTTGGGCCAGCCACGCTTATGGGCGCGTCGCATCGGCTGCTGCATGTAACGGTGCTGCCTGCCTGCCAGCCAGTTAATGCCTTTGTTGGTGGTTGCTTCTGCTGCGCGCGATTGCGTTGACCCGCTCCGGTCTTACTTGTTTCATTAATTGTTTGCCACCACCATCGACAACGACAACTACAAAAACAATAACATTTTGCAAATAATAATCATAATAACAGCAAAAAAAGAATGTACAAACAAAAACTAGTACTACATACATACTAATATGATATTGTAGATATTTATGACGATTTATTATTGTGTCGATACATGTTGGCGATATTGCTGTTGTTGCTTTTGTTTTTTTTTTTTGGATTTGTAGTGCTCTAATTGGAGCAGGCAGCGCTATTGACACTTGAAGAGCAATTGATTGGAGCATTTCAAGTTGACAAGACAAAAAATATTGATTGGCAATTTTTTTTTGTAAATTTTAGATTTTTAATTGGAAAGTAGAATTAAAAAATAAACAAATATAAATAAAGATAAAGTGTGATAAAGTAGAACGCTTGTAAAATGAAAAAAAGAAATAAAATAAAATGAAATGGATAAATAAATTATCTAAACCACATAAAAAAAATTAAAAATTAAATAAAAAGACAAACAAATATAAAAAAAACTAAAAATAAAACAAAACAAATTAGAAATAGCAAAATATATCTAGATATAAAAAAATAGTAATATATAATGCAAAATAATTAATACAAAAAAATACGACAAAAAAGCAAAAAAAAAATAAAAATAAATGCAAAATAAAATCGGTGCTTTAGTTTTGAACCGAACCAAAAATCTAACTGTTTTTATTTTGAAATGCCAAAACCGAACAGTGAACCACTCCAAAAAATGGTTCGGTTCGGTTCAAAATGAAAATCCACTAAAGCATTTTTCAAGTTTTGTTGGTAACAAACTCTAAGCCAAGATTTGAGTGTCTATTCAAAATTCTTTATATGCAGTTTATGTCTATTTGTCTAGACTTAATTTTTTAATCTCACCTTACTGTATATTAAAAAAAAAAGTTAGATAATCTCTCATAAACTTTAAGCGCTTAAATAAATCGTTAGAACGACTTGAAACCACAACCAACTATTTTTTAACAGTGTGAAAATTCATAATATTGTGGTACCTTGCGAACTCCCCAAAATATATTTTAATTTTGTCATCTGTATTGCTTAGAATAAGAAAAATTAACCATTTGAAACGAATCGAACCGTGGTTCTGAGGTACTCATGAGCCCGTTCTTGTACCGGTGCAAGTTTTTTCTCAGAAATTTGAGCCACTGAACCGTATCATATCAATTATTGGAGCACTTTGCAGCCCTTATAAAAAAATAAATCACTTAAATAAAAAAAGTGAAATAAAAAATAAAGCAAAATAAATGCGATTTTTTGCTATCGTTTCGGCCTAATACCTTTTTCATACAAAAATTCGAAACAACTTGAGCTCAGAAAGTAGCTTTAGAAAAAGTATAAACCTTTCAATTGAAATATGTGTGAAAACTTCAATTTGTAAAGCTTTTTAAACCTTCTTTATTTTTTATGAATAACGCCATTAAAATATTTCTTTTCGATAACTTTGTCTGTTCGTTTGTTTGTAAATTTTCATTCATTTAAATTTTAGATTAAGTCCAATTTTACTTTGGGGCAAAAAAGTTCTTAGTCGGGTTTACCAGGGGGCTTATATTAGCATCAACTGTTACGGAAAACTCATATTTATAATTAAAGTTTTAATACAACTTTATATATAATTATACTTGCACATACATTTGTAATTACGCTGGAAATTTTAAGTTGCTTAACTTGATTGGTTTAGGTTCTTGTAGCTGCCCTCATTGATTGTTTGAGGAGGCCTAATTAGATATCCAGAGCCCTGTTTGGATACCAGAGGCTTTTTACGTTCTTGCTTTCCTTAGAAGTGAAACGAATTCTTCGTTCAGTGAAGTGAAGATCATAAAGTCATAGCTAGCATCTACATATTGATGGTCCTCTGCAATAACGGCACAATTCAAAATTCAAAAAATAAAAACCCTTACCACTGTTAAGTGGCTCATGTCTCTAACCCTTGTCTAATCCATGCCCAATCCTTACTAATATAGTCAATTAGGATTGCTAAAGTAAGTAGTTCAGCCGGGCACTTAAGAAAGTAATGATGGTACCAATGTCAATGGGCCTTCGCAAATGCGGAGCAGCGCCATAAATAATGCTCTCTCTAAATTCCTTCCAATCGCCGCGGAAACTACGACCGAAACAATTCGACTGTAGCCCATGTTGGCATCCGTCGTTCGAATCAAACAATGGGCTATGGTATTCCTCCTAGTACATGTCGAAGCAGTGGTTTCACCAGTCGTAGAAGTGGACTAGATTTTATTTTAACTAATTCAGGCCAGATAAGTCATGCTGTCTTATGCATCGACTCCAGTGTTGCCAGATGGTCCATATAACTTCAGCGTAAAGTCATTTAATTTTTCCCTAAAAAAAGCCCCCTTAATATCGATGAGTTTACTGATGCTGGAGGCAATACAAAATCTGGTAACATTTCGCAGCTTGTACTTAGGCTATTGAATCTGCCATTTCCGAATGCTGCAGTCGTACGTACTTTCTTTATTGTCAATATTATCAATGATAAGCTACAGAACCGAATGTCTACAGGTCTATGCGAAAACGCTTCAACTCGGAAACTGTCTACGCTTTGATGATATCATTGTGATCAACGGGCATGAGAGAACTTAATTAAACACATTCAATTTCGAGCTAGTCTTTTACCATGAACCAAAAATACTTTTTGTGTTTTTTTGTCTTACCACATTAAATTAATAATAAATATATTCAATACATACGCACATGTAATATAATACTATTCGAAAGTTACGAAAGAAAAATAAATTTATTTGAAAAAATCTCTAAGAAAACTGCTAAAGATATTTATCCCTAATTTTCTTCCTAATGGTCCAGAATAACACTAAGGGCTGGTTTCTCCAACTCAACTTAACTTAGTTACGCCAATTCTCCTGACTTAGTCAAGAATAAGCTGTGTAAATTAATTAATTAAATCGTGGGCTAACTTTTGACTTAAGTCCAAAAAGTGGCTAAACTAAGTTAACTTGAGTTGGAGAAACCAGCCCTAAATCTACCGAGAAATACCTTGGCAACACTGATGGCCTCTACAATCCATCTTCTATTAACCTGTTCGATAAAGTTCTGCTTCAGCCAGAATTCGCGCGTAGAGTAAATAATCGATCAGCCACCTTGTAGCTTCAGCTATTAGTGCCGAAATTCCAGCAACCAAACGCTTTGGTTGAGTAAAGCTATTTTCGAGTATACCCGACATTCCACTTTGAGCTATCATTCACAATCAGGGTACAATTCAAATACTAGATTCTCTATCCAATCGCTCTTATAGGGTAGTCCCAACTCAAAATATACGTTTTGCCAGAAAATCCGAAAAACTATTTCGTGGCACATGTTATCGTATGGGCAAGGGCGACTTTACCGTAGGTTTTTTTAAACAAATTATAAAAAAAATGCCCCAGCTTTTGCTAAAAGGTAAATAAAAGCTCTGTGTATATTTTTAGCGCATAATCTCAAAAATGCCAAATTTTGAGTTGTGACTCTTTTGAAGACGGTGCGCGATATTATATAGCCGTTTTCTTGCTGTTAATTTGGCCTTACGTCTTGTTTATGAGCAGTCCACCACAATAATGGAGATATCGCCTGGACTATCGCTGTGTAGCGAAGACTATATATTAATATTTTTTTTTATTTTAATTTTAATTTAATTTTATTTTTTTTTTATGTATGTTACCGCATAACTTTGGACCACGTCAACCGATTTCGATAATTCTTTTTGCATCGGAAATGTAGTGTCTCAGAGGTGGTCCCATACTGATCTGGTTTAGATCCGAACATTGGATCATTAAATATATTTTTTTAAGTAGTTTTTTTTGCTAAAAATTACTTGTTTTATGTAAAGTTACGACCTGTTTCACATAAATAATATGCCTTGAGACGTTAGTAGTACTTTCATATTTTGTTTAATAATTATTTTTATTTAAAATTAGTCTTTTGCTGCTTGCTCCTTTTAATATATACATATATAAATAATATTCTAGAAAATTCACTAATACTCCTACCTTGCAAAAAAACTTAAACTTTGTTGTAAACTTTTAAAACAAATGCAAGAACAGCAACGGCAGCATATATTCAATAAAATTAGTCACCAACCAAGCAACGACTAGCTGGCAACTAATTCCGCCAACTAACAATTCATTGACAGTCTCTTACAAAAAAAATCCCTGTTCCCGCTGTTGGCAAGCAATAGTATTATGAATACAAATAAATTTATTAACAACTAACCACATAACGCGAGTGACAAGTGCTTCCCATGCCAACGCTCAAATATAAGTATCTACATAGTATCTATGTAAATAAATGCATATACCTAGAAAAATTAATTGTCATAGAAAATTTAAGCCTTCAGCATTACATACAACAATCAAACAGTGGCTGACTACAGTACCTACATAAACAAAACAAAAAGTAAATCAATACAGATAGCTTGGAAAGATGCTAAAATAAATAAAAAGAATCTGAAGCAAAAAGCACAATCGATTGCGTGTGTAACGAAATTTCCAGGAATGCAAAATAAAATTTGAATAAAGTGACAAAGAAAACAGCGCAGTGAATCGAAATGGTATGAATTGAATGAATTTACATTGAATTCGCGCTGAGTGACATTCGTTGAAGTGTTAAAATAAAAATATAATAAATATAAGAATAAAACAAGCAGCAACCAAATATAAAAGACTTAAGCTGCGAACTCGTCGCCAAGCAGAGAAAGTGAAGAGAGAAAATAAGCTTTTTTGGGTGCAATTTTATTTAGCCAATTGGCAGGAATTTGGAAGTGCATTTAAAAATACCAACAATAACAACAACAACGATATCGTGAAGTTTATGCAGCAAGCAAAAGGAAAGAAGGCGAATTAAAGAAGTAGAGAAGCTGACAACGTGGCAATAAACATGGATACGGCGGGCACTTTCTCCATATCCTATGCGGATTGGTTAACGGAGCCACGGTAAAGAAATTTAATGAGTAAAGTAAAATTGAGTTAAAATAAAATAAAATAAAATAAAATAAAATAAATTAAATTTAAATAAAATAAAATAAAATAAAATAAATAAAATAAAAAT